CAGATAAAATTGACAGTATAAAGTTTCAAAGAATCTTCTGAGTAAGAAGAGAAAAATTATATGATAGGGTAAGAAAATACATTTTGAGGAAGAGAGGAGGGAAGCTGGGGGAATTTAAGGTGGGTGGTTTTGATCTTAGTTGTTTAAGAGCATGAAGAGAGAATGAAATAAGTGTGCTGGGGAATGGGAATATAACAGGGAGGTGAAGGGACTACTAAGCAGTATTGCAGGCTCAGTTTATGTAAGCTAACATATCTTCCATCAAAAACAGCTCAGTTTGGGAATTCTTCCACTTGTCAGTATAGGATCAGGAGTTGAAAAACGGGAGGTAGAGATTTCCTGAATTTGAGACTGGTATGGTGTCATGGTTTAAACGTATGCCCCAGAGTTTATGTCTTGGAAACTTAAGCCTCAGTGCAACAGTGTTGAGAGGTGGGACCTTTAAGAGGTGATTAAGTCATGAGGGCTCTGCCATCATGAATGGATTAATGATGTCATCATGGGAGTAGGTTCCTGATAAAAGAATGAGTTCCACTCTCTTCCCTTCCCCCTCTCTCACAGGTCTTCTCACCATGTAATGCCTTCTGTCCTGTTGTGACACAGCAGGAAGGCCCTCACCACATGCAGTCTATTGATCTTGGACCTCCAGAACTGTGAGTCGAATAAACTTCTATTGTTTATAAATTACCCAGTCTGTGGCATTCTGTTACAGCAGCACAAAATGGACAAAGACCACAAGGTGAGTACTTTCATTTTATGATGAAACAAATGTACAACAAATATACAACAACTATATAATGAAATTACATCAGTGGTATTAGTATTTCTCGTTTTCAGTTGATACATGAAACTGTTCGGTTTTTTTTTTTTTTTTGAGACAGAGTGTCACTCTTTTGCCCTGGCTAGAGCGAGTGCCGTGGCGTCATCCTAGCTCACAGCAACCTCACACTCCTGGGCTCAAGCGATCCTCCTGCCTCAGCCTCCCGAGTAGCTGGGACTACAGACATGCGCCACCATGCCCGGCTAATTTTTTCTATATATTTTTAGTTGTCCGATTAATTTCTTTCTATTTTTAGTTAGAGACGGGGTCTCGCTCTTGCTCAGGCTGGTTTTGAACTCCTGAGTTCAAACAATCCGCCCACCTTGGCCTCCCAGAGTGCTAGGATTACAGGCGTGAGCCACCGCACCCGGCCGAAACTGTTCGTTTTTAAGATGCCATAGTCAACTAGTACTGGATCCATGCTGATTCCATGGTTTAAGGAATACATTTTTATAACTTAAGTGCTGACAGGTCCTAACTGGTCACCTAGTTCAATTCTACTTAAGAGATAAGGTAACTAAGGCCCAGAGAAGTTAAGGGATTTGCTCAAGGTCACAACGATAGTGGCAGAGATATAGCAGCCTCTTGATTTCATTCTAGTACTCCTTCCACTGTACCACAAGTTCTTCCACAAAGTATATTTGCCAAAGTAAACTACATCACTGGTGTTTGTCTTCACCTTAGTGCTGCTGTCCAAAAAAGGAAAACCTACAGCTTCTCTTGGAATCTTATCTAAAGTCAACCTTGCTTTTTTTAAAACACCATAGAAGCCAGTAAGCAATTTTGCCTCAGCACAAGTAGATGGTTTCTTATACATTGTCTGTAGGACTCTGGGTTAAGGTTAAGCCTTGTGAACCTGGAAGAGACCTGGTACCTGCTATTTTGATTTGAGATGAGGTGGGACAAAGTAAAATCAGATGGAATTAGACCCTTGTATAGTGCTAAGAATAAGCAACAAAAAAACAAGGAAAACATTCCAGGTGAGTTATAAGTTGGGTCTTAACAGTCCCAAGGTTGAGCGTAGTCAAGAATGACCTCTTGGCCAGGCACAGTGGCTCATGCCTATAATCCTAGTACTTTGGGAGGCTGAGGCAGGAGGATTGCTTGAGGTGAGGAGTTTCAGACCAGCCTGAGCAAGAGTGAGACCCCGTCTCTACTAAAAATAGAAAAAACTAGCCTGGCATGGTGGTTCACGCCTGTAGTCCCAGCTACTCAGGAGGCTGAGGCAGGAGGATCCCTTTTGAGGTTTGAGGTTGCTGTGAGCTAGGCCGATGCCATGGCACTCTAGCCCGGGCAACAGAGCAAGACTCTGTCTCAAAAAAAAAGAAAGAAAAAAGGAAGGACCTCTTCAGTGCTGACTGAATTATGAATAGCCTAAAAAGAGATGGAATCTGCAGGAATTTCAAAATGCCTCCAAGGCAAGGTTTAAAGTGAGCAACAGGGAGAGGGGAAGAAAGAAAGAAGCAACACTGTAGGACAAGGAGGCAAAGAAACCAGGAATAATTGAGGCCATAACCCCTACAACTGTTCTCAGCAAGGTGGCTGAGTCCTACAGGGACCTCAGCATCCTCCTTTCCTCTCAGAAACCAATCAATCACAGCTTCTCTCTAAGCTGTAAGGATTCTTCTATTTGAAGATAGTAGTTTGCTAGGCAAAGAGACAGACAGAAGTACAAAAAGTCAAAAAAAATCTGGAAAGCTGGAAGATTTTTTTTTTTAAAGTATCTGTATGTAGTTGTTATGATTAACTTGAAGACTTACTTAGTACATTAGATCTTATAGATCTCTAGAAAATGATCTTTACAGGAAATCTATTACCTGAAGATGAAAAGGGTTATAAACCAACTCTGATTCCAATTCGGACCTTCGTCAACTGACAGTTCAGGTGAAGGCCCTCTGGGGTGGCCAGAAAGCAAAGTAAAGTTGAGTATACCACTGCAGAACAATTCTCTTTCCCTTGAGATGAAAGAAAAAAAGAAAGAAGAGAGGTACTAAGCCTTGAAACACAAGACAGTAAATGGAAGAAAACCTGGTATTAAAAGTAGAACTAAACACCTTGCAGATTTAGATAAATGAGAGTGATCTCAAACCCCATGAAAGCAGTACTTATTCTGAGTTTCAGAGAAAGTGTAGAATTTTGGAAAGTATTCTGACACAATTCCTAAGTTCAAGCAATGTTGTAATATCTGTTAGATATACATTAACCCAGGTCCACAAATGACAATGATGTGGATGCAAGCATTCATCCTAATATTTTTGAGAGCCTACTATAGGCGCCAGGTATTAAGTACTGTGGATACAAAGGTGAGCAAATCAGAGTCCCTAATCTCACAGAATTTCTAAAACAGCGGAAGAGATAGCTATTAACAGAAAAATCACACAATTATAAACCGAGTTGCAAACTGTGATGTGTGCTGTGAAATAAAGTATAAAAGTGCGTAACATGGGAACCTGGTAGTAGGCTGCCTGCGAAAACCTGACAAGAGAGCCTTGCATAGCAAATGATTTACAACAACAACAACAACAACAAAATCTGTGTTAACGTCCCCCTGGCAGGGACGGGCAAAAGGTATTTTAAGATAAAAAGGTATTCATTGTCCTCAGGAGAGTGAAAAGGTTAGCTTTACTCTCTCAAAAAGTTTTTGTTAGGTTTACATGTACAAAAAGCAACTTGCCCTTGGAGAATGTCATCATCATAAAGATGGGTAGAACAAATAGGCAGGAAATTGATGTCTTCTATGTTCAATACATTGAGACAAGAGGCTCTGAAGGTTGCTTGGTGGCACAGAAATGTGGTCTGGATATGTTCATCATTCCAACAGACTCTGTGGCTTTTCAGACATTTGGCCATAAGCAGATGACATTTTAAAAATCAGACAGCCACTTTGTGATTTCCAGATTGTAAATTGTATACACATATCCATCAACCTCTCTGCTCTATCTTCTCTGCATCAGTTTCCACCACTCAGGCACACAATAAAACCTCATTAGCAATGTTATTCTGAAAGCTGAAGATTGACTATATCCCTAATGCTGAGAAAGCCAAGAACATAGAGTTCTTAACCTGTAACACATCAGTACCTACTGCATGGTGAACTTTAAATAAATACTGAATGACAACAAAATATTCAGGGGAACAGACTAGAATGAAACGCCTAATTTTCTATGGGCAGACTGACAAGATAGCTCTGTGATAATCAGAGATAATTAGCTGTGCTCCTCTGAGCCTCTAAACTCCTCAGAGTGAGGACATTTTGCAAGTCTGGTTACTGATGCAGAGACATGATGGGACTCTGAGGCCCAGCCTCTCTAACTACACATACTTTGACAAGGACTTGGATTCCTTATAAAAAGAATGTGCTGAAACCACATCACCACCAGATGATACCAAAAGATCTGAAATACCTGGTTAAGTCCCTTTGCTCTTTTTCAGGTTTATGAACTTTCAAAGCAGAAGAGATTCTGTTCTCAGCAGTAAATGGAACATACAAGAAGTCTGGATGGTAGCCTCGGGCAGCAGTAACCTACAGTGAGCCAACTGCTTAGTGGATGTCTGAAAATAAGACCATGTAAATATTTCCCTGTTGCCCTGGCCTATAAAATCTGTACTAAGTGACAGACATGAAATGGCGAGGTAGCTGGGCAATGAGGCAACCAGTGGGAAGAAGGAGCTGGCTGCACCTCCAGGTGTTAAAAAAAAGGCAAGAGCTGCACATTCAATGAGCCAATATTAAGTCAATTTAAGAATGACTGTTCTCCATTCCCTTGACTCCCTCAGCTGCCCTTTTACTACTTTTTCTCTTCAAGCTTGACCCAAAATTTCATTAATAATCTAAATCTCCCATATAAAATGACAGAAGGGGTAAGAAGAGTATAGAAACAGTCTGAATTACCTGGCCAGCATCTATCAGATGACTGTTAAGCACCAGGGCCAACACTGTTGAATAGCTATGAAGAGGAGATAAGTAATCTAAAAAACTGGCACTGGCAATCTCTAGAAGCCGGGAGATTTTGCTAAGAAGTTCGTTAAACCTAAATCCTCTGTGTGGGTTATCGCCAGCAGGCTGTGGACACTTGAGACTTCTAATAAACACTTGGCAGTATTTACAACAACAAGCCCCTATTGGCTCCCCTGCAGAAGCAGGATGAGAAGGGATGGCAAAGCTACACATCACACTTACCATCTTCTGTTTCCTGCCACACGATGCCTTCGAGGTTGACACTGGTTCCAGGTTCACATGGGCCCAGGCACTCAGGCTCTGTGGCTAGAGCCACATCACATGTGTTGACCCCAACTGATCGGGTACGAACCATGATCTGCTCACAGGGAGATGAGATGTCATTATTGACCACTGGCACCAAAAGGTGCAGTGGCAGCACCGCTGGTGTGGAGACAGGGGACTCCATCTGTGGGAAAAGAGAAAGCAGTAGCTGAGTTGCAGGGAGAACATTTAGAGGAAATACCTTTTCTGTATTTAATCTAGTCCTACATCCTTTCCTGTCGGAGTGCAGAGGGCTCTAAATATAAGACTTTGGTCCTTCCTTTCAAATTCTAGCTCGTGATACCACTACAAATCTAGTGGTTTAGATGAGAGCATCCTGTACTAGGAGAAGCTCTGTCTCTTATTAATGATCTTCCTTGTAAACACTACCTGGCTAAAAGTGCCTTTTTTTTAAAAAAAGAGTTCTATTTTTTCTCATCTCATTTAAAAAAGAATCAGGGCCAGATTTCAATATTATCTGAGCATATAGACTGATGAGAAAGAAAAGGCCCAGCTTCTAAAGCATGTTCTATTGCGCACTGCTATGCTTCCTACCAATCTATTAATAGCATCCCCAAAATGGTGTATTAGTTAGGTATAAAATCCATGAATATGGATGGGGATGAAAAGAGGAAGAAATATGCAGATCCTAGGAATGCCATGATTCTTAATGATCCTAGGTGCTTTAATAAATCTTTAGCTAGAAGGAAATCTACTTAAAAGTTATAGGAGGGCTGGAGGCAACATTGTGGGGGTTTCTAACCCTCAGAGACTATCGCAGTGATTGGTTAATAAGAATGGTATCTTAGAGTATGACTCTAACTTCAAATTTATCTGTAAGAAACAGGAAGTGCTGTTGCTATCCAGAAGCCAATCCATAGCAGTCCGAAGATGCAGCTGATTATACACACAGACAGACATAGTCAAACACCAGCAATCGACCTCCAAAACTAGAACTTCTCACTAGAATGTAATTAGGTTCCAAGAAGAATGCAACACATCTACAGACAACATAAAAGTTGTAATGAAGCTAGTGATGATCCCTTAACTCTTTAAATTCTGGCATTTATTAGGCTGACAAAGTACCAACTTTGAGCCTATAGTGCCCAAATCCTAAATGAGCATAATGTCTTGGCATACACAAGTGCTCCTGGGAAGCCAGGAGGAAGCTATGCTACTACAAAGGCACTTAATATACACATTGGCTGATTTCCTCTGAAGATTAATTATGATACCAATCAGCAGACCTAGAAAATCCTCTTCTCCTTGTGAAAGATTTTTCAGTCCAGGTTAAATGTAGTCCTTGAATAGAGACATTCAGAGAAAACCACACATACATCCATAATCTAAGCTGCTCAACAGCTCTGCAATAGAACTCTAGTTCTGGGATAATTTACTGCATGACCACCACTCTACCTATAATCCATCTCCCTTCCCCCCAGACAAACACATACATACACTTTTCTAACCTTGAAAACTAATCTAGAAGCTGAGTTCTGGGTACTGCATCCATTCTCTACAGCTGGCTCTGACTTTTTGGCTTAGAAAACCATCATCATTTTTTTTTATTTTTATTTTTTTGAGACAGAGTCTCACTCTGTTGCCCAGGCTAGAGTGCCGTGGTGTCAGCCTAGCTCACAGCAACCTCAAACTCCTGGGCTCAAGCGATCCTACTGCCTCAGCCTCCCGAGTAGCTGGGGCCACAGGCATGCGCCACCATGCCCGGCTAATTTTTTCTATATATTTTTAGTTGTGCAGGTAATTTCTTTTCTATTTTTAGTAGAGACGGGGTCTTGCTCTTGCTCAGGCTGGTCTTGAACTCCTGAGCTCAAACGATCCTCCTGCCTCGGCCTCCCAGAGTGCTAGGATTACAGGCGCGAGTCACCATGCCCAGCCGAAAACCATCATTATTTGCAGATCATCACTGTCAGAGTCCAGAGAATGCTCACACACTGATTCTGATTAATTTGGATCCCTGAAGAGCTGCCGAAACAGCCTTATTGGCTTATTGACTCACACTTTCACACACATCCTTATACTTCCCTAACTCTACCTTTTCATAAAATGAAATGGAAGCAGAAGCCTATATAATGAACATTCTACATTTATGATAAATGCCAAAAGGCATTTTTGTTCTTTTGAGAATCAGGCATTTATAATTTAATTTGGCAACCTTGGGATGTGACAGATCCTGGAAAGACCCTTTAAAATTTCTATATATTGATTTGAAGGTAAAAACAACACAGAAAAAGTAAACTGGAACCTCCCTACTATTCCTCTGTAGGGCTGGAATCTGGCTCTAATTCTTAAGCTCTTTCAGGAATGCTGTAAGAAACCTTTGAGAGTCATTAGAAAGAGGAAATTAGAGACAGTACACAGATCATCTTTATTCTTGGCCTTACCTCTGTTTCTTTGTTCTTTCTCTTAGAGAGGAACTGAGACAGAAGCAATTTCAGTCAGTATGTACATTTCCTTTACTTAGTGTTTAGTCCCTTTCTATACTTTCTTCTACTAGCAAGAGAAATTCTTTCGAGGTCCTCTTTCTTGGACACAGACATTGGCCTAAACCTTCTAGGTCACTCCCGTGAACTTTCTGATTACCTTGCTTGTGTATGTGCTATTGCCAATTTGTTTCACAGCTGAGGAAGCAATCCCAGGCACAAAAGGAGATAAGTCCCCAGTGGGACACCTACACACTCATTCAGTCATCAAGGAAAGCTCTTTTCTGGAAGTGGTTTTATTTCCTGCTAGGTTATTCAGTGCTCCTGGGAGGCCAAGAGGAAGATATGCTACTACATTCTATATAAAGCCAAGCCCCCCCAATTCTGCACTGAGAAATCCAGAAAACAACACCTAAGATGTAAATTGGAAACACCACTCTTGCAGTCAAACAGTTTGCCGTATTAAATCCTGCTACAGAACATCTAAAGAGAAAAAACTTTCGCTGGACTGATTACTAAGAATAACAGAACCGACTCATACACATGAGGAGCTGATTAATATGTATGCACGAAACTACCCTTACTGATCAGTTACTAGGTAGAGTTCAGGATCTCAGTATGCAGATGACTTTATTTAATTATTTAATTAATTTAAAGAAATGTTTAGTGGTGGGGAAAAGTGAAGAAATCCATCTATGGCTTTGGAACTATTCAATTTCCTTCTACTTTGCAACAGAAATCTAAGGAGAGATCACAGAGCAGCACAATAGTGTTCAACTACAGCTCCAGCTCTGCTAATTACCATTTGGTCACATCTATAACCTACATTAAGCCATACTGCATAATAAGCAGCTCTGTGATATTCATCTAATAACCTAGGTGGCTTTACAGGATTTCTTATTCTACTATTCGTTGCAACAAACACAGCTTCATTCATCACTCTCCAGAAGATAAAAATCAGAAAAGGACTCATTTTACCATCTTTCTCACATACTCAGTATACGAGAGCAAGGATTGTCAGAAGATTGGTCCCATCAGGGAAAATAAGGAATAGGAATATAAAAAAGTTAAGGTCATTAAATGCCTTAATGACTACAATAACAACTAAAATTAGGCCAATTCTCAGTCTCTAAAATGCTAAGAGGTGCCACCATGGCTCTTGGGGCTCAGTTTACTGGAGAGGTAAACAACAGAACAATCATAAAACTTAAAAGAGATTTACAGAGAATTTAAAGAGGAAATCTCTGGAGTTTCCCAAGACTTTATGTCCTTTATCTTTTAATGATACTTCCTTTCAATTCACCTTCAGATATTAGTTTAATAGCACCTATCAAGGATCTGATTGCTGATAGGCAGGTGACACAGAAACGGAGATCGCAGAGAAGAACAAAGGAAGGCCAGAGTCATTAATCTCCCCACAAGAAGTAATTATACACTGACTTCAGCTGCCTCCCACACCTGAGAGGCATGGATGGAGAAAAATCTTCAAGGCTGAAACGTAATTTTAAGAGTAGAAAACACTAAAGAAATATTTGGGACAGACTTTTGCCTCTTACTTTCATAATCTGAGTCTCATATCTTCACCTTCACAGTCAAAAGGCAGAAAGGAAGTTAGTTCTGCTGATAACCGCAATAGTTCTAAGAAACTCCCTTTTCCTCAAGAATGAAAAGATAATTGGGGATAGTGGTTAGATGAATGTTCAGATTTATTTGGAATTATCAGATAAGATTGTATAGAAAGTAGAATGTCATCAAATACACTAAATACTATATTAATAAGGTGTTATCTTTCTCAATAATCTCAAATGTCCTTCAAGATTTTACAGTGACTCAGCATCAGCAATTCTAATAGTAACATAGGTGCACAGAGCAGAGGGATTAAAAAGACTTACTGATACATGGACAAACACATAAATACTCCCCTCCCCTGCCAAGGTATATAAAACTTGATTTGCTCACCAAGTGTTTATTGTGGGTTATTAAAAATAATTTAAAAATTTAAAATTTAAAATAAAAATTTTAAAATTTAAAATTTAAAAATCCCATTTATCTACTTATTATGTTATTTGTCACTCAAACTAAAATATGGAGAAAAAAAATTCCTCAATTATTTGAACCAGTTCCTGCTGACTGGAATATTTTTTTTTTTTTTTTGAGACAGTCTCACTCTGTTGCCTGGGCTAGAGTGCCGTGGCGTCATCCTAGCTCACAGCAACCTCAAACTCCTGGGCTCAAGCGATCCTCCTGCCTCAGCCTCCCGAGTAGCTGGGACTACAGGCATGCGCCACCATGCCCGGCTAGTTTTTTCTATATATTTTTAGTTGTCCAATTAATTTCTTTCTATTTTTAGTAGAGACGGGGTCTCGCTCTTGCTCAGGCTGGTTTCGAACTCCTAAGCTCAAACAATCCGCCCGCCTCGGCCTCCCACAGAGCTAGGATTACAGGCGTGAGCCACCGCGCCCGGCCCTGACTGGAATTTTGAGACAAAATAAGTTTACATCATTTTTTTCCAATTAATTAAGGATTATTTTTGCTTGTTCTGAAAAATCAGCAATTCGTTGTCATGAGAAACTCATAGTTAGAAATCACGGAATAACTGAGGATGGAGGGAGAAATCTGAATGCCTCCTTTCCACAAATTCTTGTCAGAATGCAACAGAATATCCTGAGTAAATCCCAAAACAACCACAACATTTAACTATTAG